TGACAGCAAGGCCAGTGTGGCTGGAATAGAGTGAATGACAGGGAGAAAAGCTGGAGGTGAGGTCGGAAATGTTGGGGATTGATGAACAGATCACATAGAACCAGAAGTCAGCTACAGATAAGCCTTGGGTTTCTACTCTGGGTAAAATGAAAAGTCAAGGGAGGGCTAGGAACAGAAGAAGGACATGGTGCTATGCATCAAAGTACAACAAAGGCATAAAGAATACATTTTAGATGATCACTGTCACATAAGTGCTACTGTGAATAATTGAATGAGTAAAATCAATCCATCAATCAATTAGGGCAAGAAAAAAATAGAAGTAGTAGGCTTTTACTCAACTTGATAACAAGAAACATTAGAAATGACTCTTAAAAAGCAGTGAATCTCCTGATTCACTTTTAAAAAATATATATATTTTATTGATATTTTATAGAAAGGAAAGGAGAAAGACAAAGAGCCAGAAATGTCAATGAGAGAGAAACATCGACCAGCTGCCTCTTGCACACCCCCCACCGGCTATGTGCCCGCAACCAATGTACATGCCCTTGGCCGGAATCGAACCCAGGGACCATTCAGTCCACAGACCGACGCTATACCACTGAGCCAAAGCGGTTTCGGCTCTCCTGATTCACTTTCTTACTTCAGTAAAGACATAAAGACCCAGATGAGGTGCTTGCACTGTTTGCTGCAGGTCCTCCTCCATCTTCTCAGGAGGGGCAGGAAGAGACTTGAATTTGTGTGTTTATTGGGGGAAGGGGAGTAGCTGCCTCAGCAGATTTTACAATGTGGACTCTTGATAGAATCAGTGGTTATAACACTTCAAAGAATAGACTCACTCACTGTAGGCTTGCCTTTGGTGACTGAGCCTTAAACTCTTACTCATACATTTATTCAACAAGGTTTTTTTTTAATCTTATTTTTTAAAAATATATTTTTATTGATTTCAGAGAGAAAGGGAGAGGGGAAAAGATATAGAAATATCAATGATGACAAAGAATCATTGATCAACTGCCTCCTGCATGCCCCCTACTGGGGATCGAACCCAAAACCTGGCCATGTGCCCTTGACCAGAATTGAACCCAGGATCCTTTGGTCTGCGGGCTTATGCTTTGTCCACTGAGTCAAATCAGCTAGGGCTAAATCCTCATTGTTGACAAGTATTACATATGTCCTTCTTTTTCCCTCTTCGCTCTGCATACACACCCCAGACCCTTCTACCCCATTCCCCAACCCTGCCTTCACTGCACTATTGTCTATGTCCATGGGTTATGCATATATGCATATATATTTAGTTCATCTCTCCCTGCCCCACCCCCCTTTCCTCTAAGATTTGTCAGTCTAGTCCATGTGTCTCAGGATATATTTTGTTCATTAGATTCCACGTACAAGTGAGATAATGTGATGCTTGTCTTTCTCTAACTGGCTTATTTCGCTTAGCATAATACTCTCCATGTTGTCTCAAAGGGTAAGAGACCCTAGCAGGCATGGCTCGGTGGTTGAGGGTCGACCTATGAACCAGGAGGTCATAATTCAATTCCTGGTCAGGGCACATGCCTGGTGTGAAGCGGGCAGGAGGCAGCCGATCGATGATTCTCTCATTAATGTTTCTCTCTCTCCCTCTCCTATCCTCTCTGAAGTCATTAAACATATATAAAAAAATAAAAATAAAAAGGGGATATTTTCTTTTTTTCACAGTTACATAGCATTCCCTTGTGTAAACACACCACGTCTTTTTTTTTTTATCCACTCATCTACTGGTGGGCACTTGGGCTGTTTCTAGACCTTAACTATTGTAAATAGCACTGCTGTGAATACAGGAATGCATACATTCTTTCTGATTAGTGTTTCGGGATTCTTAGGATATATTCCTAGAAGTGGGATCATTGGGTCCAATGGCAGTTCTATTTTGAGAAAACTCCATAGTTTTCCATAAAGGCTGCACCGGTGTGGGCTTCCGGTGAATGACAATGGGGAATTTAAACTGAAGGATTTTAAACTGGGAAGTGAAAGGATCAGGATTATTTTTAGATAATCACTCTGGATGTAGGGTGGAGACATCAACTCAGAAAGCAGGGAAAATAGGTTGTTGCATTGTCTCAGACAATAATCTATTTTGCCTAGATTAGAGCTAGGAGGAAGTTGACATATTTACAAAATATCAAGTATTAAGAGAGGCAAAAAAAAAAAAAAAAAAAAAAAAGGCAAGATTTGGTGGCTGTAGATTTTGAGGAAGAGAAAAAGAATAGCAATGGGGAGAAAGGTGGGGTCATTCTTTGAGAACAAGGGTTGAGGCAAGTGGAGAAAGTTACCCTGTTATTGGGACTTGAGTTTCAGGTACCTCAGGAGGACGGGCAAGTGAGTGTCAGCAGGAAGTTAAAATATAGCTCAGGGGCAGACCTATGCTTGAGAGATACAGGTTTGGGAGATGAAACCGAGAGAGAACAGGCAGATCACCTTTGTCAAGGGAAAACAGAAAAGAGTCAATTACAGAACCAGCTAGGAAAACCAGCACGTACAGCATTGGCAGCAAAAGAACAGAGAGAGAAGGGAGGACACACGGAATGAGTGGTCAGAACCACAGAGAACAGAGAGATGAGGGAAACGGTGATTTCATAATTCCATCTGGTCAAGTGGCTTGTCCTGTGGAAGCCAGTCACTTGCCTAGCTGTGACCTGCTGACTAAGTGTTCACTCAGTCAGCACATTTTACTGGGCCTGTGCTATGGACCAGACACTCTTCTAGGTGCTAAAGCTAGGGACACATCAGAGAACAAAAGAGACAAAAAGCCCTGACTTTAGAGAGCGTAAATTGTAGTGTGGAGAACAGACAGTAAACAAACGTTAAAAACAGATAAGCAAAAATAGGTAAAAATATTAGGTGATAATGCTATGGAAAAAACAGTAGATGAAGAGGCAGCAGGGGGAGAAGGCAGGGTGTGTGAGCATTTTCCAGTGGAGCAGCCAGGGGAGGCCTCATTGAGTAGGCGACATCTGAGTAAAAACTTGAAATTTTCCAAGCAGGTGCCTAGGGGTAGAGCATTCTAGGCAGAAGTTATGGCCAGTGCAAAGGTTTTGAGGAAGAAGCAAGCTTAGGAAGTTCAGCGAATAGTGTCAGGGTACTGGGAGATGAAATCAAAGAAGACATGTGGGAAGGGGTGTATCGGGTGGTATTTTGACTTCAGCTGAGAAAATGAGGCGCTATCAGGAGGTTTTGAGCTTAAGTGTGACATCTAAGCTTTTCGAATAGGATCACTGCGACTGAAGAATAGATGTTGCCCTCGCAAATGAGGTCCCATGCACCAAGAGGTCTCCGGCTCGATTCCTGCTCGGGGCCCATGCCCAGGTTTCATGCGGGAGGCAGCTGATGGATATTTCTCTATCATCTGTTTCTCCCTCTCCCTTCCCCTCTCTGTAAAAAAAAAAACCAAAAAAAAAACAAAACAACAAAAACATATTGTAAAACCAAACAAAAAACCCCCACACAGAACAGATAGAGGCCAGTGCAGAAATGCAGGCAAAAGCTAGTGCCCTGAATAGCAGAGTGGGTTTTGGATGGTTTGGAAGTGGGATCTACCGTGTTTCCCCGAAAATAAGACATCCCCCGAAAATAAGACCTAGCGCATGGAAAGATAAGACATCCCCTGAAAATAAGACCTAGCGCAACTTTGGGAGAAAAAAATTAATATAAGACACTGTCTTATTTTCGGGGAAACAGGGTAGGAGAAAGAGGAGGCAGGAATACTAGCAGCACCGAGGCCGTGTCCTGAAGAAAAGGAAAGAGACTGCCATCCTCTGAGGCAGGAAAGAAAGACTTTGGGAGGAGGAGGTGGGATGGGATGGGGATTGGGGGGGGGGGGGTGTGGAGGGAGGGAATTAGGGGTTCAATTTCTGGTCAAGTTGTTGGTGAGATATTGTTGGTGAGATAATTCCAAGTTGCCTATAGGAATTTGAAATTCGGAAGAGCAGTCAGAGCTGGCGATTAATGGAAGTCGTCAGCATGTAGTTGGTCTTTAGAGCCACGAGTGTGAACAAACCCAGGTCCAGGTGTGTGAAGTGCGGTGAGAAAAAGGCAGGAAAGGGAGTGTTTGTGTGGGACGGTGAGGGGTGTGATCCGTTAAAAAAAAAAAAAAAAAAAAAAAAAAAAAAAAAAAGATGGAAAGCAAAACATGTGCTTCCCCAGAAAAAAAGAGAGAGAGAGAGAGAGAGAGACCAACGCTTCATGCCCTCACAGCCTAGGGCATGGGGAGGCCAAACCCGGCCCAACTCGCAGCCTGAGGGCCAAGGCTCCCAGCAACTTCCGGCCCGTTAGCCTGGTTCCCTGGCAATCAAAACCGAAACTCATCGAAAGGGCATTCCAGCTTCTTCCAAAACATCATAGTTGTGTGGACAGAGGGGAAAGCCCATGAAACGGGTTCGGAACGCTGGTTTCATTGTACTACAGAGCTCGACTATAATACTTTATAAGACGGGTTAACTCGTTGAAAGCAGCACAATGACAACTTCCATCACGACAGAAGCCTCAGGCTCCCCTTCTGCGCACGCGCCGCCTCCTCCTCCTCCTCGCGTCACTCCGAGGTAACAGCCTTTCTCTTCAATGACTCCCTGGAACCCCCGGGCAGGAGGCCTCCCACCCTACGGGTCGAAGGAGGAGTCAAGTCGCGCTGCGCGAACAAGGCTTGATCACGCGCCACAAAAGCGTTTGTAGGGCGGGGCGACCCGACGACCCTCTCTTGTTCCCATTGGTTGCGGTCGCGAGGCTCTCATCCTCGATTGGACGCTGGGGAGCCGCGGAGCCCAGGCAGCAGCCCGCCCCCCTCCCCCGCTCCCCCTGTGCGCGTGCGCACGTTAGATGGGAGCTCCCCGCATTGAGCAAGCGCGGCCTCGTGTCGGCTGGAGCGGCGCGCTCTGCGTCCCGTCGCTCCGCTCTCCCCGGTCCCGCCCTCCGTCGCGGCGGCGCGGTGCATCTTGGGGTAGGGAGCGATCTCCGAGCGAGGCGGCAAGATGGACGCGGGATTCTTCCGCGTAAGTAGAAGCGCGGGGGTCTGTGTGTGAGCTGAGGGCCTTACCGCGAAGGCCTGGCAAGAGGCCTACATTCGAGGCGGGGTGGCCACCGAGGGGGAGGCATCGAAAATGCTGGAGATCCTCGGCGCTAGCGGAGGGTACCCCCTTCCTTGCGACGGAGACCGGTCGCCCCTGCGCAGTCTCCTCCTTCGGGATCGTCCCCCCTACGCGGCGGCGACGGTCGCCGGAAAATGGCGGCGGTAATTGGCCCGACCGGTACCTCGCCGCTCGTCCGCCTGCCTACCTGGCGGGGCCTGCAGGCTAATCCTTACGCGCCGCCGGGTGCCGGGGCCTAGCGGAGCCGCGAGGAGGAAGTTCCTGGCGGGGAGGCCGGAGGGAAGCCCCGAGGGGACTGGCGGCCGAGGACCCTGGAGAGGAGCGCGTTGGGGGTATCGCCCCCAGAGAGCGTGTTAGAAAGGACAGGAAACCTCGTTGAGCGTCTTCAATGGAGAAAGCGACACCCCCGCTCTCCCCCAGTTCCTAACCCTTCTCGAAAGCGCGGGGTCAGAGTTCGCGGGAGTCCCCGCCCAAGGGGATAGCTCTCCGGGGAGGGGAGCTCAACCTAAAGTGCCGTTAGAATGTGTGCACCCGAGGCTCTCGAGGCCGGAGGGGACAACAAAAAAGCGCGCGCTGGTGGAGGGAAGCCCGGGCGTGGGGTGGGTCTTCTTCCCGCCCGCTGCCTTCTCGGGTTTGCTTTCCTCTGCAAGCCCGCTGGGAAGGGGTCCCCTGAGCGGGGTGCCCCCCGGGCCCGCGCCCGGCCGGCCCCTACGGGTGGGTAAGATTATGCATCTCTGTGGTGGGTCCTCAGGACCCCGACTCTACAGGCTCGTGCTCCCCATAATCCAGTCCTGTAGGAAATGAGCGCCCAGTGGAGAGCTAGATGGGTGGGAAGTGACTCTGCTGGGGTTAGAGCTTGCAGATCCCCCCCCCCCCCCCCCCCCCCCGTGCAGAACAGACTGGGTAGAGATAGGTTGGGTCTAAGACAGTCTGTACTTTCTGTCATGTATGTAGGTTGACTCTCTTTCCACTACTTGTGTTTTGGAAGAGGGGCAAGACTGGAACTTGATTAAGAAAGATATCTTTTTTTAAGGTTGACTGAGTGCCTTAGGAGGCTAACACAAAAGGGTAAACAAAGTCTCCATAAAACCAAGAGAAGAGATGGCAAAACTCCTCTTTGGATTCTGTCTGGAGTCACAGATGAAAAGAAAGGAAGAAATAAAGATATCTTTATATATTTCCTATTCAATCTTTATATATTTCCTATTCAAAGCCGGTGTTGAAATTCTGCAATTGGCTTTTAATGTGCCAACTTGTGTGCTGTTTTTTTTTAATCAAAAGTTGTACTATTGACCGACCTGCAAGGCTCAGTGGTTGAGCATCGACCTATGAGCCAGGAGGTCACGGTTGGGTTGGTTGGATTGCCTGTCAGGGCACAGGAGGCTGCTGATCAATGATTCTCTCATTGATGTTTCTCTCTCTCCCCCTCTCCTTCTCTGGAATCAATAAAAATCTGTGGGGATTTTTTAAGTTGCAGTTTTATTCTATGCATTTGACTTAAAGCTGCCAGTTATTTGTTCTTAAGTTATGCAAACAATACTATGTTTATGTAAGGATTCAGTTGTGAGTTTATCAAATTTTTATACTGCTGGTGAACACATTTAGCTGTCAATGTATTACGTAGGAAATACTTAATATTTCCTGTGGTCCAAATGTAATGTTTTAAAACCGGTTCTTATGGTATTACTTCCCATGGAAAGGAGTTCCAATAGAAACAGAGCAAAGTGGTTGATAAATTTAAAAATGAAGTTTGCTTTTGGTGTTGGTGAAAATCTGGAAGGAATGGGTGCAGTTTTTTATATACTGCCTGTAATTTCTTAGAGGGGTTGATTAAGTGTAAGTCCTGAGTTTAATTTAGGACAGTTATCTTTTTAGTGGACTGCCAATCAGATAGTAAACTGAAATTTTCAGTTAAGATAGAAATGATAGCTTTTATTTGCTGAACTTCTACCACGTCAGTTACTTTGCATGTCATTTGTGATATACACAGCCCTGTAAAGAAACATCCTCAGAAAGGTTAAGCAGCTTGCTTTGAGGTTTTATGGCTTCAGTGATGGCAGTTATGATTCTAATCCAAGTACTTTACCTTCCCAAACAAAATTTTCTTGATAATTTTCCAGATGATAGTAGCCAACTCCGTGGAACAATCAGATTTCCTATCACATGGCCTGTTTTTCCATATTTAATTGGGCCAGTAGGAAGGACAGAACACAGACTAGTGATCACTTGATGTCTAATGTAGTATTTGTAAATTTTATTTTTCCAAATTCTTTGTTGAAATTAAGTTTTTGGAGGTAAACCTATATTGTTTTTATACATTTCAAATTGTTAAAATTATGGAAAACGGTAACATAACACAAACCTAGAGTGTTCTGTTTTCCTT